ACTCCCCGATGTACTTCCTGCTCAGCCATCTCTCCTTCATGGATATCTTGCACATTTCCAACATCATCCCCAAAATGATCACCAACTTCCTGTCTCTTCTCTCTTTTTTTAGAATGAACCAAACATTTAGCAACACGGCCATGCCTGGTGTGTTGGCACCTTTGGGGCAGGTGCATGTCCATCATGACTACCTGGCATGGGGTCTGCAGGCTGCCACGTTCTCTGGTGGGTCAGGGTGGGGAGGCTGTGAGTGCTCACTGGGTTCCTCTCAGAAAACAGTGAGGTCCTGACGTGGCTTCTGTCTGTGGTCGCCCACGTGGGGTCAGACAGGGTCCTCTCAGGCTGAGGCTTCCCTGGGACTCTGACCCCAGGTCTTCAGTGTCATTAACACAAGTCTGTATGATTTCCTGTCTTGATTCCTGCAGCAAGAAATGATATTGCAGTGTACGCTGAGGAGGTGGACTCTGAAGTGTCTTTCCCCATAGAAATCCTCTCTGCTCCACCTGCTACCCACATTACATCACGGATCTAATGTCTCCACTGTCACTAAAGTGTCCTTTGCCTTAATGGAGAGCTGAACTCGTGTTCTGAGTGCACTAGGCTGTGCTCTGGCCAGTGTTCAAAGCAAGGGCCAAAAAGCATAAAATCTATCTTTGAAATGACTAAAGTGGGGACTTTACAGTTTCTCTTTCCTAATTACTGCTAAAGCAATGATAATCAAGACTGTGGTAGTTAAAGTGAGTCGCAGGGTCCAATTGAATAGAGACTGGAGCCCAGAAAAATCCATTGCATGGTCTTATTATTTTCCACAATGATTCTAACACCGTTCAGTAGGAAAAGTATAGTGTTTTTAAGAAAAGGTCTAGAGAAGTTGCGTATTACCATGAAACAAACTTGAGCCATTCCAGATATATATATTAAATTATATGAAAATGGGTTAAAGCTTTGAATGCAATAATTAAAGATATGAAAGACTCCCACAGGACTCTGTCCTCACCTTGGCCACAGGCCACAGCCTGTCCCCAGGGACTGTTCCCTCCTGTCTGGGTCTCAGGGATGTTCCCCAGGCACAGCCCCTCCTTAGACTCATTGTGCAGCTACAGAAGTCAGAGTCCTGGTGCTGCTAAGTCTCCTTGGAGGTCCCTGAAATGCCCAGTGTGGGAATGAGCAGGTAATGGCTGCATTGTTAGGATGATACTCACAAAAGTTGTTTGGAGAAATTACATTGTTCATTAGTGACTGCAGGCCAGCGGCAACTGTTCAGTTTAACTTTGAGTGAGACTTTAGCAAAGGACTCTGTGAAAGGAGTCTATATCTTGAGAGTGATGAGAGCTCAGCAGATGAATGCACAGGTGGTCAAGCTAATAGTGTCCTCAGGAGCAGGTGTCAGGCTGGAGCTGGGTGGGTTGTGTGTCCTCACGGCTGTGTCTCCTGCTTACACTCTTTCTGACTCAGGCTCCTGCCCACTGCCCACTGAGCAGCCTTGCTTCTCCCAGCCCTGCTGTTGTGATGTTCCGGAAGCCAGCCCCCAGCAAATGAATGCAATGCAAGATTAAACCTCTGTGATGTAAGTTTTGTGTATGGAGTGTTCTGTTCAACAACTTAAAAGCAGATCAGAATAACAAGTAATACAGGCAATTACTTTTACAATGTGCAGAGGTATTAAGAGGCACTGATTCTAATTTTATCTTTTATTTACTATATGGGAATAGAAATTCTGGCATGCGCTTAAGAGAACATAGTTTCAGAAACAGACTGGAAGTTGAATTGGAGAAAAAATTGCTATACTTTGCATTCAACTGTGCAACAGACATCTGCAGCTATGAGGTCAGACCACAGGACTGATTTTGGAGCCAATCCTGAGAGTGTTCACTGCATGGGACACAGCTGGTGTCAGTGGAAGCAATGAGGGCACGTTCCCCTGCATGTGCGTTCCATGGATGCAGGGGAAACTTGCAGAACAAACTCTATGTTTAGAGTCCAAATTCACAATAAAGTCACAGATGCATTTTTTCTTTCTTGCATTTTTTTTTTTTTTTGCCTGTTTAGTTTTTTCCATGAGTAATGTGTGGTTCTCTGGACCTTAGTAATCTTACTCCTGTCTTCTGCTTCCTACTTTATCTTCCCTGGTTCCATCTCATTATTGTCAAATACATGGAAATTATAAATATTATTTCACTATGAAAATCTACAATAGGACTTACGGTAAAAGAAAACTCAGACTGGTTCAAATTACCCTTGTATGAAGCGGTCACATAATTTTTAAAATTTAAATGTGTACACTGGATAGGATGCAGGTAAACACATGAATAGTAGCTCTGACAGTTTGTATTTAAATTTAATTTGTGTTTGTGTGCTTAATTTTTGCAACCCATTTCTTTTTTAAAATTCTCTGTAGGGACCCAGAGGTTCAGGAAAATGATAGCAATGTTAATAATAATATCTACTTTAGTGACCTGGAAAATCTCTTTTGAGAACCAAATAGGCATAATTTATAAAAACAATTTGAAATCTGTACCACGGTCAAATCAGAGTGGAACACAAGTATCTTAGTACCCATGACAGTAATTATGTAGGTGGAGATGGTGATGCTAGTGATGGAGATTCTACATCCGCAGCTGCTGTTCTATGATGTCTCAGGCCAAGTGGTGCCTTGAATGTACTCTGTGTATTTTCTCAGAGCTAGCCTCTAATCACCCACATTTGCTTCTCTGCATGCTCAGCAACCTTAATGACTGGAGTTTACCTTTCCTAAATGTCAATGGCTAGAACTAGATCAAGGTTTAACCCTGAAATTTATCTGGTAATGCAATGCAATACAGTATAGAAGAAACAGAATATTTTCATTCTGAAAAAAAATCAAGGTTCCTACTTATGTACTGGATTTTCTCTCCATCTACTTACCTGCTTATGTATTAATGCTAATGCATCATCGTGGAACTTCAGAGCAATATACCATTTAGAGACGCTCAAACGCACAAAACTATTCATAGTACTTTAGACTTGTTCATACACTAAAGCAATTCTTTATACCATTTGAACTATTGAAAATAAATATCATGACATTTTGAAATGAGACGGTTTGTTCATAAGTGAGGAAAATAATCCAAACCCCTATGCAGTCTTTCGGTCTTCCTCAGTGATTGTATCACTGAAATGCAGAGAAGGGACCCAGCTGAGCTTGTACATACTGTGAGAATTCTCCTCACCACCCTGCTCTGTCAGCTGAGATCCTATGGAATTTATTTACAGAGTGGTCAATTCAGGGAGCTGAGGTCAGTGCTGGGTATCCCTTAGTAGTATGGGCGGGCAGACTCAGGCATGCGAGGATTTGTGAGAGGTGCTCTGGTGCTTTGCAGAATCCATGACACCAAAGCCATGCCGAGAAAACTGACTTCACTTTCAGGATTAGTGTGCTTAGACCGATCTAAGCAAATGAGTCAGTTTATGGGTTTATTAGGAGCAGGAGAATATCTCAGGTTTCAGTAGAAGAGAAAAGAGATTCAGATTTCTGAAAAAACAGTTAGATCACCTCATGGACTGGATCAATCTTTATTTATTTAATTTATAGTTAGAACTTTGATAGTTTATTTAATTTAGGGGCTTTTAAAAGTTGAATCTGGCATTTCTGTGAAAACTCCCTGCAAAATGGAATTAAAGAGGCCTTTTCCTAAATTCACAGTCTCCCTCCTCCTGCATAAGTGATCAGAGCAAATGGAATGAAGGGAGCATTACTGGAGAGATTTCTTTTTGAGAGTCCCCTGATCAAAAGGAGCAGAGTGTGGGGACCCGTGCTATAGTGGAAACTGTATGGTGCAGACTCTGGGGAGGGCGGCTCCTTGGTCCCCAGCTCTTTCACCTGGCCTGCCTGTGATCATGAATGTTTGTGATGTCCTTGTTTCAAGGATTGCTGCAATGACAAGGAGACTATATTGCAAAGTCTATGTATTGTACTAATACAAGAATCCTAAAAAGGCTTTTATCACTGATCTCCTTTTCTACTCTAACAGGAACAGTAAGAAAGGTCCCCACAATGAACTGATGCACTTTGACTTTAAATGATAATATACAATTTTACATAGGACAGAAGAGGAGGAATTTTACAAATGGTGGAGAACATTTACCTGATTTACACCACCGACTATGAGGCTGTTTCTGTGTAATCAAATTCCCCTAGTAGGGACAGTGATAAGTGGAAATAAGACACAAATTTTGATTGCTTTTGTGAAAAGAACTTTTTTATGGAGATATTTATATTTGTTTCATGTTCAGTTGGAACACTTGTGAAAAGACTCGAGAAATGATACAACACAAGATGCCAAGATATTTTTTAAACACTAAAGCAATTTTATTTGAGGACCCAGATGTGGGCTGAACAGGCAGCATGATCACGGATCACCTGGCAGCTCAGGGCTCCTGCAGAGCCCCGACATAAATCGGAGATTTAGCATTTCCTGGAACGCCTGGTCCAGTGTCCCCAGGCAGCTCAAGGCACATGCAGGGTGGGCACAGAGAGGAACCGCGGTGTCAGCAGCTTATGGGCCTTCTGGGAGAGTGTTCCCAGGCAGCTCAGGGTGTGCAGAGGGCCCAGAGGCCAGCTGCAATGGCAGCAGGGTCACGGGCCACCTGCTCTACTGTCCCGAGGAAGTTGGTGTGGTGTACCTGGCTCTCTAGGGTCCTCAGCCATGAATTGCAGTACACTGCCTTTATATACTGTCATTTTTTTCACCATAATTAGAGTCCTGTTTTCTTAAAATAAATTGGTATTGTAATTGCAAATAGTTTACAAGGTATCTTTGGAACCAGAAGGGGAGAAACAGATTTCCCTTGGCAAGTAGCTGTGCACGTTATATGACAGATTTTCTCTATTTTTAAGAATTAAGCTCACTGCTACATTTCCGTCTGGACTCAATTCTAGATATTTTTATATTCAGGGAAATGTTTTATTAATACGCTTCTGCAGCACATAAGATCGGGAGCTCCTTGTCAGGACCTGGTACCTGTACGTAGCACACCATAATTTCCCTTTTTGTAGTTTTCCTTCCCCTCTCTTTCCATCCATTTCTCATTCCCATTTTGTGGTATATGTTTGCAGTACATAATCTTTACCTTCCTTGTGTGGAGGTGTACCTGTATGTAACACATCTCATTTCCTGTTTCTATCCCTTTTCCCCGCCCCTTACTCCTCCATCTCTTCAACCCTTTTTTCCAAAACCCTCAAACCACTAGGTGGCGAAGGACATGCAGTGTAATAACTGTGATCACGGAATTAATTCCAGGTCCTAAATGGCTGACTGTGCAAAGCCATAAAACACGATTGAAGAAAGTTTCGATGCCTCATGGCAGTGTGAACAGGGTGGCGGAAGGTACCTAGGGAATAAAAGTAAATGATGGATTTTTTTCAATAGAGAGGAAATATAGGCATGTAGACAATATGAACTCCATAAAAATGTACACATAACAGAAAAAAGAGGAATTGATGAGTATTTGAAATGCTATTATAGATGAGCCCATAAAAATTACTGAACTGTTCTAGTAATAAGAATTTAATTAAAAAATATAGTGGGCCAGCAATTTTGCCAAAATCAGGAATCCAGTACTAAATGGATCTGAAATGATGATAATAGAGCAAATAATTTATTGGAAAGACAGAAGGGCAATATGATTGCAGTAAGAGAAATTTAGACCTGGTGAGTAAAATATCAATGTACCATAAGTTAATCATTTATATCTGCATTTGTGCATGCATCTAAGTAAATATTTACTTTATGGCAAAGATCAAAGACACAGAGGTGTGAAAAATTTAAGTAAAGATTTAAGAAAATACTGTCCAACTGTAAATGACATTAACTCCTGATTTCCCCAAAAAGAGCTGTTATATTACAGCTCAAAATTGTAAAAGAATACAAAATATTAGCATATATTCTTAAAGATTCATTGTTTATTTTGATTAAGCATGCATAATTTCCTACCTCTAAAACATAGATATTTGAGATTATAAATACACTGTACTAAGCATTTTTTACTTATTTTTTGAAACCTAGAAATCTAATATTTCAATTTCTCTAAGTATAGGTTCGAAAATTTATTAAACAACATTTAATCCCCTTGTTCACAATATTTACTTACTTATTCATTTTTGTAGTGGAAGTTGAGATGGCAGGGAGTAGCTGAACCCTTTCCACTACAGGGTCAACAGGAAATTTTCCCTGGTATGCTCAATTAAATGTTTTCATTAACTCAACAGTTACTGAAGCACTCTTACAAGCCAGGTAATGTTCTAGGCATTTGGCTTCCACAAGTGAATAGAGCAAAGATATCTGATAATGAGGTGAACATTCTAGTGGAGAGAATGACAAGGAAAAGTAAATCCTGCTCATGTTTATCACTGTGGGCCCCTGAGTTAAAGCTTAATTCATTTATGAGGGCTGGTTGTGGCTCAAGTTGTCAACTGATGTCTTGGGCTCCTCTGCAGA